GCTGAAAAATTGGGGTTATTGATTGTTTGAGGTACAGGGGATTAAATCATCAGGATGTGAAAACTACCTTCTTTGGTGAGTCAGCTACTACTGGGGTCCTTCAGAGCAACTGAAGTCAGTAGTTTCACTGTTATGCGGGACCTGAAATAATATCCCAAAGGGAAAAATTAACATTTTTTAATGTTCAAATTTTTTTTTTTTGTTTGTTTGTTTGTTTGTTTGTTTGTTTGTTTTGAGATGGAGTCTTGCTCTGTCGCCCAGGCTGGGGTGCAGTGGCCGGATCTCAGCTCACTGCAAGCTCCGCCTCCCGGGTTCACGCCATTCTCCTGCCTCAGCCTCCCGAGGAGCTGGGACTACAGGCGCCCGTCACCTCGCCCGGCTAGTTTTTCGTATTTTTTAGTAGAGATGGGGTTTCACCATGTTAGCCAGGATGGTCTCGATCTCCTGACCTTGTGATCCACCCATCTCGGCCTCCCAAAGTGCTGGGATTACAGGCTTGAGCCACCACGCCCGGCCTCAAGTTTTTATCTATAGAGCGGTTAAGGGGAATTATCATCTAGGGTTTACAGGATTCTAGGACACTAGGCATCAAACAACTATGAATGGGGTAGACATGGTGGCTCACACCTGTAATTCCAGCACTTTGGGAGTCTGAGGCGAGTGAATTGCTTGATCCCAGGAGTTTGAGACTATTCTGGGTAACATACTGAGACCCCATCTCCATTTTAAAAAATTAAAAACAAAAGACTTTGAGGAGAGATCAGAGAGCAAGCTGACCTACTCATTAATTCTGAATGTGCAGCACACTTTGTTTGTTTTGATTTTCTCCTTCCCTCCATCATTGATTAATTTGACGAAATTTATCAGGGCCTCTTCCATTGACTGCCAGGAAGTCATCTCTTCTGGTGAATCTTCAGTAGGCCAAGCATCTCTTATGGCTAAAATGATCTAGTCCATAAGGGAATACCATCACACTCTGTGTCCCACAATTTGATGATCCAAGTGGTCAGGGGAATCCCCAGGTAGGATGGTTTCATTTCTTTTCTTTTCTTTTCTTTTCTTTGAGGTGGAGTTTCACTCTGTTGTCCAGCTTGGAGTACAATGGTGCAATCTCAGCTCACTGTAACCTCTGCCTCCTGGGTTCAAGTGATTCTTCTGCCTCAGCCTTCTGAGTAGCTGGGATTACAGATACACACCACCATGTCCAGCTAATGTTTTGTATTTTTAGTAGAGATGGGGTTTCACCATGTTGGCCAGGCTAGTCTTGAACTCCTGACCTCAGGTGATTCATCTGCCTCGGCCTCCCAAAGTGCTGGGATTACCGGCATGAGCCACGGCTCCTGGCCTTTTTTTTTTTTTGAGATGGAGTCTCGCTCTGTTGCCCAGGTGCAATCTCGGCTCACTGCAACCTCCACTTCCCAGGTTCAAGCAGTTCTACCACCTCAGCTTCCCGAGTAGCTGGGACTACAGGCGCCTACCACCACACCCAGCGAATTTTTTGTATTTTTAGTAGAGACGGGGTTTCACCATGTTAGCCAGGATGGTCTCAATCTCCTGACCTCGTGATCCATCCACCTCAGCCTTCCAAAGTGCTGAGATTACAGGCATGAGCCATGCCCAGCTTGGTTTCATTTTGTGGCCCAGGCTGGAGTACAGTGGCCTGATCATAGCTCTCTGCAGCCTTGGACAACTGGGTTCAAGTGATCCTCCCACTGCAGCCTCTTGAGTAGCTTGGGACTACAGGCACAGGACACCTTACCAGGCTAATTTCGCTCTCTTTTTTTTTTTTTTTTTTTTGAGATGGAGTGAAATGTTGCCCAGGCTGGAGTGAAATGGCACGAACTTGGCTCACAGCAACCTCCGCCTCCCAGATTCAAGTGATTCTCCTCCCTCAGCCTCCCGAGTAGCTGGCATTACAGGCATGTGCCACCATGCCTGGCTAATTTTGTATTTTATTAGAGATAGGGTTTCTCCATGTTTGTCAGGCTGGTCTGGAACTCCCGACCTCAGGTGATCCGCCTGCCTCGGCCTCTCAAAGTGTTGTGATTACAGGCATGAGCCACCGCGCCTGACCTTCTTTTTGTTTTTTGTTTGTTTATTTGTTTGTTTTGTTTTTTTATAGAGACAGGGTCTCGCTCTTTTGCCCAGGTTGGTCTTGCTCTGGTCAGGCTGGTCTCCAACTCCAGCTTCAAATGATCCTCTCCCCTTTCTCTGGTCAGGCTGTCTCCAACTCCCAGCTTCAAGCGATCCGCTCCCCTTGGCCTCCCAAACTTCTGGGATTACATATGTGAGCCATGGCAATGGGCCTTCCAGGTATTTATTGAAGGGTTTTGCAACCTCTAAGAGTTCTGCAGCAGTATATTACCTGACAATGAGAGTCCCCCGCATCCTTTCACCGCATGTTGCAGAAGTAGTTGCGCTTTCCCCTTTTGTTTGCATAGTAGGACAAGCATGTCAATGATCCTCATCCTCCTCTTCATCAATGACTTCTTTGTCATCAGTCTTCCTCTTCATAAATTGCCAAGGAATCCAAGTTCTCACATCTCAATGGGACTTATTTATGATAGTATCAGCTATCATAAGTCTGCATCAGCTCCCACAGCTCCAGGCTCCATCAAGCCTGCCTCTTTTTTCTTCCCCACAGTCCTGTCCCAGAAGCCCCCAGCTCTGCTCCTCAGGTGCCTTAGGCTGTACGGCTGCACTGCTGCTGGGCTCAGGCAGCTATCTGTCCCTGCAGCCCCTTCCCTAACCCATTCCCAGCGCAGTCCCGCCCCACTAGTATCTCTAGTGTCCGTGGCTGCTAGTGCCTCAGTCACCGCTGCCACCGCAATTTGGAAGTCTTTTAATGCAGTTAAATTATCTTAGTTTTTTCTCTCCCACTTTATAGGTACGTACAGGAGGAAAGCAGGGTGTCTGCCGGTGTCTTATTCACACAGTGGGATTGTAGGTGTTGGTCTCATGGAAGTAATCAATGGGGGAAAGAAGCAGGTGAATAACCTGCAGGGGGCAGGAGAGCCCAAGACCAGCCTGGAGCCTGCAAAGGGAGGGAAATGGAGCTCCCTTGGGTGTTCCTGAGCAGCTCCAGGAGTGGATTCTGAGAATCTGCAGAGCCCTGGAACACAGGAGACCCAAGTGCAGATGCATTTGGGGTGGGGGGCAGGGGGCAGGGGGGGGGGGGGGGAGGTGTTCTGTCATTTCTGAGGTTGGACCTCAGGAGCCTGTGGCCATTTGGAGGGCAGTGTTTTTGGTTTTGGCATGCATAGGGTCACTGGGGTCAGGCTGTAATTTGTATATAGGAAGAAAATCTGTGAAGGTCAGTTTGAGAGAATTGTTTGAAACATCACCTGGAGAAAGGGTTTATGAAGTTGACAGTTGATTTAGATCAAAAGCTTAAACTGACCCCAAGGGATAGTTCCCTGCTGTTGAAAATGAAGTTCTGGCCGGGCGCGATGGCTCACGCCTGTAATCCCAACACTTTGGGAGGCCAAGGCGGGCGGCTCACGAGAACAGGAGATGGAGACCATCCTGGCTAACAAGGTGAAACCCCGTCTCTACTAAAAATACAAAAAATTAGCCGGGCGTGGTGGCGGGGGGCCTGTAGTTCCAGCTACTTGGGAGGCTGAGGCAGGAGAATGGCGTGAATCCGGGAGGCGGAGCTTGCCGTGAGCCGAGATCGCACCACTGCACTCCAGCCTGGAGGACAAAAAAATAATAATAATTAAAAAAAGATAGAAAGAAAGAAAAGAAAATGAAGTTCTGGAAGGAGGGAGTGTTCCCATACTGTGAGGAGAAATGGTAGATGTGTGAGGAAGCGTTGTCCATGCCTCATCCCCTATTCCTGTCCCCCTGGAGGACATCTGTCTAGTCGTGCCTGCCCTGGTCTCGGTTCCCCTCCTGCTCTGAGGCAAACAGATCGCCCCATCAGACACTGAGTCTGGAATCCCCTGCATACACCTGTGACCTGATGCAGGAGGAAGGAGCAGAGAAAGCCCATTGAGTGAAGGAGAGGTCAGTGCCCTTTCTAAAGTTCAGGAAAAAGGCCAGGCGCGGTGGCTCACGTAATCCCAGCACTTTGGGAGTCCGAGGCGGGCGGATCACCTGAGGTCAGGAGCTCGAGACCAACCTGACTAACATGGTGAAATCCTGTCTCTACTAAAAATAACAAAAATTAGCTGGGCGTAGTGGCAGGTGCCTGTAATCCCAGCTACTCAGGAGGCTGAGGCGGGAGAATCGCTTGAACCCGGGAGGCAGAGGTT